CAATCACATCTGAAAGTTTTTATAATACTCTTTATTATGAAATTGAAAAAATAACTTTATATGCTGGTACTATTTTAACGAATTGTACTTCAATCTCAATACAAATTAGTAAACTAATTTGTACGCATAAGCTGAATCTAGTCCTGTCGATGAGTGACCTGACTCCTGCCACAGGATTATCTTCTGGTTTTATCTTCCTCTCCTCCGTCCTGGCATGAGTGAGTGAGTACAACATCTACACCCACGACTTAATCTCCTCCTTAGCCCATGGCAATCTAATTGCTATCTCTTAATGCTAAGGATCTAAACCACCCTGCCAAGAGACGTTCTCTCTGGCCCGAGGCTATCAAACACCGGGCAGATGTGGTTTGTGTCCGGGAGTCCCACTTCCAACATGGCAATGCCCCGAAGTGATCCCGCCCTTGTTTTCCAACAATCATCACAGCTAACGCTCCTTCCAAATCAAAAGGAGTACTAGTGGTTGTTAAAAACACAGTGTCATTTCAACAACTGGAGGTACATTGAGACTCCCTGGGATGTTATTTTAGTGTGCTCCATTAATTCCAAGATCTACACCATAGTGAATATATATGCCCCAAACTCCCACCAAACACGCTTCCTTAACAGAACATTTAAAAAAGCAGAGAAAGCCCAACAAGGCGCACTGATTGTGTGCGGCGACTTTAATCTGGTCCCTGTCAGGTCCATGGACTCAACTTCCTCACCGAAATGAAATCTGCCCTCCCTCCAACTCATCCTCATCAACCACAGCCTTCATGGTGTTTGGCGTCAACACGACAGGGAACAAAACTACTGCTCTGATTTTTGTGACGTCTTTGTAACTCCTACTCTAGGATCACCCTGTTGCTGGTTGATCGCCTGTTATTGCCTTGGATACAGGACTCCTCCATACATTATATTACCTGGGCTGACCATGTTCCAGTTTTGATGTCTATTTCTTCACAACATCCTACCTCCAACTCTTGTTTGGCGTAACAATGTTTATCTTTTGAAGCAACCCAAGAACATTGAGTTGATCCGTAATATTTTAATAGAATTTTTTTATATCGAGGCTCCCTCAGTTGAGGATCCTTTCATTGTGTGGAACCCGCATAAGGCTTACACTAGGGGTCTTTTGTTGCGGCTTAGTTCTAGGTTTAAGAGGCAGAGGTCGCAAGCACTAGATTCCTTGATTTCAAATATTCGTAAACTTGAAGCTGAAAATAAACTGCAACCGTGTCACACAAGATCTTCGGCCTTGTCACGATTCCGATTAGACCTTAGGAAACTCCTCATGGAATATCATTGTAAACAAACTATGAATCTCAAGTCCAATTTCTATATTACTGGTAATAAAGCCAGCAAACGTCTAGCTTCCCTTCTGAAAGATCAGACTATTCGTACTAAAATCCCATACTTGCTTCGCCCTACTTCCAAACATACACCATCCTCACTACAAATCATTATACAACTTGAAAGACGAGGCAGCTATAAATATTACAAAATATTCATCTTCTTCATTGATGAATTCTCAATTAGATAAACTCCATTCTCCCTTTACTTCTTTGGAGCTAGCTAACATCATAAAATCCATGCCTAATAATAAATCCCCTGGTCCCGATGGCTATTCTAACAAATACTACAAACTATATGCCCCTATTCTTAGCCCTTATCTCCTTAAAGTATTTGATGTAGCCGCGACCTACATCATATACAAAATGTGATTTCATGTTTGTTTCCATCTTCTAACTTCAGAAAAATGATGGAATTGTCTGATCTTATCCATGTGTGAAAATATCCGCATGTAGAAATGACAACTGGTTTGCCTTCTTTAAAATGAACACTAGATGGCAGCAGTTACTATTACTAAACCTGAGAACTAATGGGGAAGAAAGAGATCGTTCAAGTCACTAAAAACAACCAAATATACATTTCAGATTTCCTTTCAACATGAGTGACTGGGCCTTAGTCTCTTGCAACCTATTTATGGCCTCTACTAGTCTCTTGCAACTTGTTAATGGTCTCTACTAATCTCTTGCAACCTATTAATGGCCTCTACTAGTCTTGCAACCTATTAATGGCCTCTTCTAGTCTCTTGCAACTTGTTAATGGTCTCTACTAATCTCTTGCAACCTATTAATGGCCTCTACTAGTCTCTTGCAATAGTCTCTTGCAACCTACTATCCTATGGTAACTTGGTAATAGTCTCTACTAGTCTCTTGCAACTAGTTCATGGCCTCTACTAGTCTCTTGCAACTTGTTAGTGGTCTCTACTAATCTCTTGCAACCTATTAATGGCCTCTACTAGTCTCTTGCAACCTATTAATGGCCTCCACTATTCTCTTGTAACTTGTTCATGGCCTCTACTAGTCTCTTGCGGAATGGTGATGTCCTCTAGAAGTCTGCTTTAACACCCCAGTGGCCATACACAATTAATAGCCTCTAATAGTCTCTTGTAACTAGTTCATGGCCTCTACTAGTCTCTTGCAACTTGTTAATGGCCTCTACTAGTCTCTTGCAACTTGTTCATGGCCTCTACTAGTCTCTTGCAACTTGTTCATGGCCTCTTCTAGTCTCTTGCAACTTGTTCATAGCCTCTACTAGTCTCTTGCGGAATGCTGATGTCCTCTAGAAGTCTCCTTTAACACCCCAGTGGCCATACACAATTATATTGCGCTTATCCTATGAGTTTACTGTTAATGGCCTTACTAGTCTCTTGCAACTTGTTAATGTTCTCTACTAATCTCTTGCAACCTATGAATGGCCTCTACTAGTCTTGCAACCTATTAATGGCCTCTACTATTCTTTTGTAACTTGTTAATGGTCTCTACTAGTCTCTTGCAACCTATTAATGGCCTCTACTATTCTTTTGTAACTTGTTAATGGTCTCTACTAGTCTCTTGCAACCTATTAATGGCCTCTACTATTCTTTTGTAACTTGTTAATGGTCTCTACTAGTCTCTTGCAACCTATTAATGGCATCTACTAGTCTCTTGCAACTAGTTCATGGCCTCTACTAGTCTCTTGCAACTTGTTCATGGCCTCTTCTAGTCTCTTGCAACTTGTTCATAGCCTCTACTAGTCTCTTGCGGAATGCTGATGTCCTCTAGAAGTCTCCTTTAACACCCCAGTGGCCATACACAATTATATTGCGCTTATCCTATGAGTTTACTGTTAATGGCCTTACTAGTCTCTTGCAACCTATTAATGGCCTCTACTAGTCTTGCAACCTATTCATGGCCTCTTCTAGTCTCTTGCAACCTATTAATGGCCTCTACTATTCTCTTGTAACTTGTTAATGGTCTCTACTAGTCTCTTGCAACCTATTAATGGTCTTTACTAGTCTCTTGCAACCTATTAATGGCATCTACTAGTCTCTTGCAACTAGTTCATGGCCTCTACTAGTCTCTTGCAACTTGTTCGTCGCCTCTACTAGTCTCTTGCAACTTGTTTGTGGCCTCTACTAGTCTCTTGCAACTTGTTTGTGGCCTCTACTAGTCTCTTGCAACTTGTTTGTGGCCTCTACTAGTCTCTTGCAACTTGTTAATGGTCTCTACTAGTCTCTTGCAACTTGTTAATGGTCTCTACTAGTCTCTTGGGATGAGCATATCATTGTAACTATTGCTATCACCATAGTATCAGTGGTTACATTTATATGCTCATTACCCCACACACACATTTTTCAAAATCCCTGGCACCAGTGGCGGAACTATCGCCGTAGCGACCCAGACGGCCGTTATGAGGCCCGCAACATGGGGGGCCCAGCCAGGAAGAGGAACTAAGGGAGGACGACCTGTCAGTGATCTGTGCAGCGACGTGTTCCTCCTCACAGCCGCTGCTGAGTCAGTGACAGCCAATAGCTTCGGAGGAGTAGGCAGGGCTCGGTGTCGGCAGCAGAGGAGGAGGCTTTGGCCCAGTGGTGGCAGCGCAGGAAAAGGCGGGGCCCGACAACCGCAGAGGAAGAGGAGGCGGAGCCCGATGGTGGAGGAGGCTGACAGTGGATCGGGCTGACAGGTAAGAGGTGTGCAGGGGTGTGACCAGCCCACCTGAGACCCTGCAGAGCCCACCAAACTTGGACTAGGGCTTTAACTTCAAATATTGATTGTTTTAGTATAGAAAAGGAATTTCTGCTATACCCACAAACCTTAAATCCATAATGGACTTTCAGTTTAAATTAGCTAAATACATTCCACGTGCATCAAAACAAAACCTTTTCAATGTCTTAAAGTTCAATTTCTGTAGAAAGCAGCTACAGCCTAATTAGAAGAGCCTGTCCCTGCCAGCAGCTGTAGTGTAAGACCCTTGCTCTCTGTGGGACCCCGCAGTCTCTCTGCAGAGGTCCAACACACCACTTGCTGAGTTAGACCTATAGCTGTGCAATCATCAGAAGCTCATGCTCCCTGCTGATTGCAAAGCTCCAGCTCTGACTCAGTAAAGAGCGTGTTGGATCTCTACAGAGGGACCACTGCTTCCACATATAGAGAAAGGGTCCTTCTCTGCAGCAGCTGGCAGAGGGCAAGCTTTTCTAGGGGGGGAGGGAGGTTGGGTGGGGAGCGCAAAAATTCAACTTTGCCTGTGTTGGCAAAAATCCTAGCACCGGCCCTGTGGGTATTGCAGATGTTTTGCTTTTACTTGCAGATTTTAAATGTCCCATTCCTTTCATGAACGTTAACAGCATAACGTTATAATTGTACAATCACGTACACGTCCAGGGACATATTTCCTTGCACACAGCTCCATAGGGTATAATAAGGCTGTGCCTACCACCCCCCCATCCGATCCGCTGCTATATTAGCTGGCACATGCCACGCACGGGGCGCCCGGACCCAACACGTATCCCCTGCCTGTACTAGGCGTGCCAACCAGACCTGAGACAACAAAGCACGGCCTGGACACGTCCTCTCTGCCTTCTTTTCCATTGGGCCTCAGCTCCGTGCTCCGCCCATTCTTCGAACTCTCAGCCAGTCGAAGCACTGTTGGGGCGTGTCCTGCCTGGCTTGTTGTGGCGCTGGGCGCAGCGTGTAGCAGTATCCTCTTGAGCTGCTCGGACATGGCGGTGCTAGTGTGCCGGCTGTTGCGCTGCTCCGTGTGGAGAGGGGCCGCCTCTGCTGCCTACAGCACGGCCAGGGATGGCGGGGCTGCTCCTCCATCCTCCCAGGTACCCCCGGTGCCAGCCTCACCCTCTCCCAGTGCCCCCACCCCTCCACAGCCCCATCTGCATCCCTCCGGCGCTCCGAACGTGGGGCGACGCTTCGCGTCCTCCGCCACCGCTCCCAAAATCGACAACAAGAGCTTCCTGTGGTCTCGCTATGGGGAGATGAAGAAGCTGGTGCAAGGTGAGAGCATTGCATAGCTGTGTGCTGTGGGTCATCATGTGACAGTTGATAAGTGATGGATGATGGGAGGGGTCTGCTTTTGTTGTGTGCTGATCACTCTATTAAAGTTTTGTGTTGTCTCTAAAGAATTCCTGTTTATTAATGGGGATGATTGATGCAATAGGTTACAACTGAGCAACCTGGATTGCACAGACATGATCCATAGGATTGTGATTTAGAATTGGGGGGTGCTGAGTGGGATGATAATGTGGGATGTGCCCCCCAAACACCCACACTGCTTCTACCCTCCATCTCCAGAGACAATTCTTCTACTGCAGAGCTTCTTAAGCTTACCACACACTTCCCAATCTGCGCAATCTCCCTCAGGTTTACCAACAACCATGTAGTGTGATTGAGTGGAAAAGATGAGCTCAGTCCTCACATTCCATAATTTTGGTAAATGTGATTATACAGTTGGACCCTGACACTGTGGGTGGGAACCCCAATTTGGGTTACTGATGTGTTCACAAAAGTGTACAATCCGATTGTAAATCTCCTTCAGATCTACCAGCAGCTGTGCAGTGCGATGGTCAGTGTGATTGGAAAGATTAGGTTAGTCCTCATATTTCAAAGTTTTGATAAATGTAAAGTTGATTGTACAAAGACCATTACCATGGGGTTCCTGCCCATAGTATAGGCCTCATTCACTGCTAAGAGCAGGTCTGTACAGATCTGTGTGGCGTGCACGACCGTATCGGGCCGCTCCTGGGAAGGACAGGTTCTGCGTGATTTGTACGCAGCATCCTGTTCTCTATGGCAGGACGCGGGTGTCTGTGCTCGTACGCAGACAGGATGCATGTGCAACCCTGTCAGCACATGTCTGTTTGGCAAAAGTGTCGAATGGTGGTATATGGTATAATTCATGCTGTGCGTTTACCTGTGTTTACGTATGTTGACTTTTCTGCATTTAGCCCAGCTCATTGGACGCAAGTTGATTTAAAATCATGGAGGGTGCCAACAGGGACCACACGCGGCTTGAGTTTTAGCCCAATCAGCAGGACGCAACTGAAATCTAAGCAGTGTATGGCCAACTGTAGCCTCCAGCCTGGGAGTTAGGCATTGTTTACACTATTGCTTTGTGTTAAAGGAGAACTCTGGGGTCAGGGCTTTTCTCCATAGTTCTCCTTAGGGTAACGGGAGGACACAAACTAGCGTCCTCCAGTCACCCTAAGCTCAGTATACCGCAAGCTACAGCTCAATATGCCAACCAATAAATTAGACCCGTCAGTTTAATGTCAATAGTATGCAAATTGTTTGAGGGAATGATGAGGACAATCAACAAGATTTTTGTTCCTGGAAATGAAACAAGTGACAACCAGCATGGACATTTCTTGTCAGACTAACCTTCTATGAGGGGGCGAGTCGGAGAGAAGCCAGTGGATGTAGTGTGCCTGGGTTCTGCAAAGGCATTTCAATTCAGTACAATGTAAACGCTTGATACCCAAGCTGCGGTCTCTGGGCATAGAAGAAATGGTGTGTACATGGATACATGTACACGCTGGCTACAGGAACATGTTCAGACAGTATCCATAAATGGTTTTATTTTGAATTGACCTAAGGTCGGGAGTGGCGTGCTCCAGGGTTCTGTGCTAGGCCCAATACTATTTAACCTGTTTTTATTAATGGTTTTTGGGGAGAAGTTAACAGCCATGTTTCTGTTGCTGCAAACATTTTCAGGTTAAGAATGTAAACGTTGGCACAAACCATTACATAAATACGGTCAATGTGCAGGACCGCAGACACAGATTTTTCTCTGATGTTATGGATCTGATCTCTACGTGGCTGTGTGCAGTGGGCCATAGCCAACCATACACCTGCGTTAAGACCCATAAGGTAAAATGCTGCATTTTGTGCAGCTGTGTACCTGTGCCCTTATAAATCGGCCCTCCTATGTGTATGGCCAACATTTGGATCTAAGAATTAAATAATATTACTTGGTCCAGTAAACACTGCCTGGGGACATTTTTTTTTTTTTTTTTTACCTTTTTTGTAACTTATTACAGGAATTTAAAAAACTTTGTCTCAACTGCAGCCAATTAGATTTTACGTTTTTATTTCTAAGCTGTGTGGGAAAAATTGTGAAGCTGGTTGCTATGGGCAACAGCACCAGTTGCAGTAAAACAGATCTAAGAGTGCCCACACACCATACGATAATCGCGGGAAATCCCGCGATCGTACGATTATCTTAAGGTGTGTGGAAGTCGTGCGACCTCTACTACTGTAAGGTCGCACGACTTTAAACTTACGAACATGTTCGAAAACCCGCCGAGCATTATACGATGTTCGGCAGGTGTGTAGCAAGACAAAAGCCGGACAGGCCAGTGTGCGCAAGCGCACACTGCCTGTTCGGCATTGCGGTCATCGGAAGCCCACCCCTCAGGATCATCGCAAGTACGGTCTGCCTGTCCAAGATGGGCAGATCGTACGTTTTCTTAATTACCTTACAACCATCGCAAGACTAAAGTATTGCGATGGTTGTGAGGCGTGTGCCCAGCATAAGGCACTTTTTATTAATCCCCCGCCCATTGATTCACCTCCTTCAGGTTTGATTTGACAAGCGCACTCCTCTGTACTAAACGAGGGATATTTGTCAGTTCTGTTAATCTTTTGTTTACTACGTGTGAGTGTTCTGTAGTTTGCATTGTAAATTGTGTTGTCATTTTAACGTTTTATTAGCAAATTAAGAAGTGAAAAAAACAAAAACTATATATATATATATATATATTTGAAGAGTTTTTGAATAGAAGATATAACTGATTTAAAACAAACAAAATTGTTGCATCATTTTGTGTTTGCCTTCTGCCATGCAAATGTTATGATTGCTGAATTGCACTTCGGATCATTGCACACAATCTGAATGCAAAGAAAGCTAGAGCTGCAGCTAACGATTATTTTCAAAATCGATTAGTTAGCCGATTATTAAGTTCGATTAATCGGTTAATCGGATAAACTATAAAATAAAGTTTAAAAAATGGCTCCAGTGATGGACTACTAGTTTGTATTGAGGTTGTAGTCCACCACAGGAGCAAGCTTGGACCGGTGGAAGTAAAAAAGAAAAAAAGATAGTGTGGTGTGCAATATAGTGAAATGGAAAGTGTAAAATTATACAGCAATGCATGCAGAATGGCAACGGCTATAGAGGACTACAAAACCCAGCAAAAGCACATTATACACCACAATTCAGAATACAACAAATCCCAGCAATAGTACATAATAGCTGGCGGCATTCTGCATTGCGCTGTATAATGTACTATTGCTGGGTTTTGTAGTCCTCTATAGCTAGTGGTATTTAGCATTGTACCACTTTATAATGTATTATTGCTGGGATTTGTTGTACTCTTCTACAGCTGGTGGTATTCTGCATTGCGCTGTATAATGTATTATTGCTGGGACTTGTAGTCCTCTATACAGCGCAATGCAGAATATCACCAGCTATAGAGGAGTACAACAAATCCCAGCAATACATTATACATACAGTGTATAATGTATTGCTGGGATTTGTATTCCTATGTATAATATACAGCACAATGTACCATCAGCTATAGAGAAATACAAATCCCAGCAATACATTATAGAGCACCATGTGTGGGAAAGTGCAGGCTTACCTGAGCAGTCTTCCAGCAACTTGCTTCTGAGATCGGACCTGTCTATCAGCGGCTGTCATCCCCCCACACCTGCTCCTCCTTACTACATCTCCCCGCGTCCCTGTGCCGATCGTGGATGTGGATGGGCAGGAAATGTGAGGCGGGGAGGAGGTGCGGCGTGTGGAGCGTGGATGCGAGCGGGTCTGGCAGCGGCGAGCGTGAGGTGGGGAGGAGGTGCGTCGCACAGTGTGTGGAGCCGTGAACAGGGCCAACTGATCGGAAGCCGATTAATCGATTATTGAAAAAGTTGACAACTTTTTCAATAATCGATTATGTCGATTAGTTGTTGCAGCCCTAAAGAAAGCATTGTGTGTCCTTGTCCACAGAAAAAAAATCTTCCTTGTTATTGTGAAGCATCTTGTGATTCTTTGCGTCTTGCATTAGTGGCATAGAGAAATCTTATTAGACGGGTTATGTTTTGGCCTTACTTAGGCGTATGTATGTTCCTGTAAAAATGGCAAGTTTTTAAGATGTACAAAATCAGACAAAGGTTAATTGCTTCTGAATGTTTTTCACCTTTAATGTGACTATAATCTATGCAATTCAATGAAAAACAAACTCAAATCCTTTAAAGGTGGAAAAAGTAAAACTAAACTTATAATAATGTGGTTGCATAAATATACACACCCTTAAACTAATACTGTGTTGGAGCGCCTTTTGATTTTATGACAGCGTTCAGTCATTTGGGCTAGGAGTCCATCAGCATGTCACATCTTGCCTTTGGAATCGTTGCCCACTCTCTTGGAAAAGTGCTCCAAATCTGTCAGATTGCGAGGGCATCTTCTGTACACGACACACTTCAGGTCACCCCACATGTTTTTAGTTCAGGTCCGGGCTCTGGCTGGGCCATTGGAAAACTTTGATCTTCTGGGGAAGCCATTCTCTTGTTGCTTTTGGGGGTATGCTTTTTGGGTGGTTGTCATGCTGAAAGGTGCAATTCCTCTTCAGCTTTTTAGCAGAGGTCTGAAGGTTTTGTGCCAAAATTGACTGGTGTTTGGAACTGTTCATATGTTCCTCCACATTGACTAAAGCCCCAAATGAAGGAAAATCAGCCCCAAAGCATAATGCTACCGCCACCATGCTTCACTGTGTGTATGATCTTTTGGCGATGCACAGTATTGTTTTGTGGGGTAGGGTGGCAAGACGGAAGCCTTTTCTTACGAAGAAAAACATCCAGGTCTGGCTACATTTTGCAAAAACCTACATCAAGTCTGACAAAAGCATGTGGGAAAATGTGTTCTGGTCTGATGACCAAAATTGAACTTTTTGGTCATAATTCCTAAAAGGATGTTTGTCGCAAAAACAACACTGCACATC